AAAAACAATACCAAATAATCCTAGAAAATAAGTAGGAACACTGAAATCAAACAAAATACAACGACTTGACACACCCAAAGTCAAATATATAAATTTTCTACACTATTTTACCTTTCACACAAGATTCTACAACTTCCTCCTTGAATTCCATAAAGAGAAGGGAAGGTAACACTTCAACAGGATATAAAGTATAAACATCTGAAACCTGTGTGAAAGAAGTTCCCAGAAAAACCTGCATCTTGGACTGAACCTACTGCAGGGCTGATCAACCTATTACAACTTGAATGATTCTGGAGAGTTTGGAATGTTGCAGGTCCAGAGCCTAATTACTATTATCTTGGGCCATCTTTAGCCCTCTAAACAGCCATTCCTTGCCCACCTCTGTGTTGGATTTGACATCCTGTGACTAACAGATAAAAATCTTTTGGAATGTATCAACCTAGCAGACCACTAACCTTTGCCAACCAGAGGGTTAAAAAGCCCGTCAGATAAGCATCTACCACTACAGCCAAATTCTCCAGGCTTTGCTATGACCCACCTCTCTGCTGTCTCCCCTCAATGTATTTGAAGTGTCTTGATTTACTGTTTTCTTTGTTCTGTTACTGTAAAAACTTCATGAAACTTGCTTTCACTCAGGCAGAAACATGGAATTTGGAGTAACCCAAATCTGTGTTCCTGGGGCATGGTCACATTTGGCTCCAGAATAAACCATCTCTTACCCCTTTGAGGTGACAGTTGTGCTTTTGTGTGGACTACATAGCCCAACAGCCAAAAATCGAAACCGACTTTTCTTTCCAAAAACTCTAAGGTTCAATAAATGGTGACCAAAAACAAGATCCTATAGCAATGAGTGAGCACACGCAGTACTGTCTTGTAAAATGTGAACAATTTACCATGGGATTTACAAGTTAGGAAACATAGTGAGTCTTATTCCACACTTTCCTCAAAATACCACATTTGGTTTTTGAATAGGAAGAAATCAAACAAAGTATCCTTAACAATAAAGGAAAATATAAGTTTTTAAAGTAATGGCTAGGCTCTCCTGGAACACTATGTTAAATTAGAAACAAAAATAGAAAATATATTACAAAAAAAGAGAGCAGTATTCACATTTCTTAAAACTTCTTTAAAAAAGAAACAAAGCAAAAATAAGAATGATACATGACTCATTGTAGAATTATTGATAATTTAGGTAAATTGATAATTTAGGAAAGTCACACCTTTTTCCTCCCCCAAAAGAGGGCAAACCAAACCATCATCATTAATCTTTTTTGCCCCAACCAGTTAAAAAAAATTCTACCATCAATTAAAACTGATCATCTTAAGGGCAGATTTGGGAAGAGGAGAAGAGCTGTCCATCTGTAGGGAAGTTAAGATCTAAAAAAATGTGAGCCAAAGCTAGACCTGAAGTAAACTCCGCCCAGATCCGAGGTAAGACAACGCAGTACTTACATAAGCTTTGGCACATGTTTTAAATATAGCTGGTCCTCCCGACTCCCACTGTGTTGCTAGCTAACTTTGTGTGTACCTGGTTTCCACAGAAACTACTAGCAATCCTGTGATTCTTCATCATCCCTAAAACGGCAATGCCAGAGTCCACTCTTAAGTGCAAGAGCCATCTTTCAATTTAAGGGCCCGACAGAGGGAATGAAAACATTGCTACTTCTGCCATTGGGCCGTCGGCCTGGGTCACGACTGCAGCACTGACAGCTCATCTTTCTGGACTTGATTCAAGATTCAGCAGAACTGCACACTCCGTATTTTATAAAATAAAGGCACATACAGTCCTCTCCTTCCCTTTCAGAGTAGTTTCCTGTTTACAGCAGACAGCGATGCAAAGCCATCCATTAATCTTTGATGCCTTCTCTCGCTGCAAAGACCGCCTTCCCCCGCCCCCACCCCACCCCAGCCGGCTGATCTCAGATGCTTTTGAACTATAGTAACCCCGAGCCAGCTAGCTGGTAGCAGCCAGCCCGGCAGCCACAGCAGCGCTCCGAGGACGCAGCAGCCCCAGGGCTGGGGGATTACGTGGTGCAATAACTGTGCCAGCAGGAGAGGCCCGGGGTGCTACCGCCCCCCCCTCCCCGTCTGCCTGGGGTGCTGGGCTCTGCCGCGCCACACACCAAAAGCAGTGCTTAGAGGATTTGAGCGAAGTTCATACTCCCCAAATGTAATAGGGGCTTCCCACAAGGGAGAACATGGGTCCTGGGCTGGAAAAGCAGAACTGGAGGGGGCAAACCCTGGGATGGCCAGCGGGAAAAGATACAAGGAAACACACAAACCAAGAGACCAGCGGCTCTCTCGCTGTCACGGGTCTGAAACACTGCACCCCAAAGGTCCCCCACCTGAAGGACTTGGCAGGCCTTTCTGCACCCCTCAACCTTGCACCGCCTGCAAACGATCCGGCTGAGTTTGGAGGCTACGTGGAGAACCAATGAAGGGGGTAGACACCGGGGAAGAGAGAGGGAAGCTTGGAAGCAAAGTGGACAAAGACGCACAAGAGGGAAAGTTGGGAATACAGACCCGGGCAAATGAGCTCGGAGTGGGCAGCCCTGGACGGACTTGGGAAAGGCCTGGCAAAGCGGGAGAGCCGGAGTGAGGGTATCTCAGGAATGTGAGGGCTAGCTCCCTCTCTGCCTCCCTCTCCGGGCGCGGGATGGAGACCAGGGGATGGAGGGTGGAGAAGGCGGCAGCTGAGGCCCCGGGGCCGGAGTCTGGGGGACCGATGGCCGTTCGGGGACACGGGAGGAGATGAGGATGGGCCGGAGGGCGCGGTGCAGAGGGGACGTGGCCTCCCCACGGCAGGGGGAGGGAAGACCGGGTGGGGGAGGGGATGGGGCGCCGAGCGCGGCAGGCCCGGGATGCTTGGGCGAGCTAGGACGATCCGGTCACCTGGGGCCGCGGCCTCCCGGCCTACGGGGCGGCGCTGGCCGGGGACGGTCTCGGCGGCTGCCCGGCTCGGTCCCCTGCGCTGAGCTCCTCGGGCGATGGCGGCTGGGGGCCCCGGACGCGCGGCTCACAGCGGCGGTTCTCCCGCGCCGGGCCTCGGCGGCTGCGTCTCGGAAGGCGGAGGCAGCGGCGGCGGCAGCGGCCCGAGCCGTGTGGTCAGCATCTTCCGGAGCGGCAAAGACGCTCCAGCCCGGGCGCCGTCAGCAGCCTCCGGCGGCTGGCACGGCCTGGGCGCCGCGCGCCGCGCCCCCCCCCGCGCCCCTGC